ACGGGTTGGGTCCACCTAGACTCGAATGGTTTTGGGCCAAGACCCGACCCATAAGATCAAAAAGTTGGACCCGTACCCGTTGGGTCCCAGATCTATCTTCTTGGGTCTCAAGTATGGTCGGGTCCATTACCACCCTCAAGGTGAGCTTTTTTTTTTCTTGCTATTTTTTTACCATCATATACCCATATTATTGGCAACAAGGATACAATCACCCTCCGTTAGATTTCAATTTGTTTGATTTGTTGTTTAATAGCCAAAAATAACTATAAGTTCTTATTGTATACGATCCTTGATGCACCCAAATGAATATAGCTTACAGTATTTTATCTCCAACAGTTTACGAGTACGGGTCGGGTCCAACCGGATCGGGACTCGGACCCAAATAGTATTTGGCGCAAGTTTTGGACCTGGATATGACCCATCAAGTCCAAATGTTGGACCCATATCAGGATCCATGTCGTATATACCCGGCAGGTCCCGGGTGGTCCAGGTCCATTGCCACCCTATCAACCATATATTATTGAAGTATGGCGCATTTCAAAGCTATGTCAAAAGCTGCAGTTTCAGAGCGGGAAAACTTTGTGATGTCATGAAAATCTATTGCTATTCAAGTACATAATTTAAATCTAAAAAATGATGGATCTATAAACACTTAAATTTTTTTAAATTGACAATCCAAGCAACGCATTATAAGATACACTAATTTTATGACTTAAACGTTTTGTTTTTTTCATATCCGTATATTTCGAGGTTGAGATGATCAATTAGATGGTTTTCCATCGGAACAACATTTTTTAACAGGTTTTTAAGATATGTTTAACTTCAATAGTATAAGGTATGAAAAAACCTCCCAAATAGATTTTAATAGTGATTGTATACTATGAGGCAATTTGTATTTTATACTGGGAGGTCATATTCACTTTTAGCCTTTAAATGTGAAATCTAACCTATTAAAATCTATCATAACATTCGAGAATCTTTATTTTTGACATTGTGCAACATCACCAACTAACCCATTTTAAATCTAACAGGCAATAATTATTGTGACTTCCTCATTTTAAAAGTAAATAGTTTCATTGTATGCATTTTCATTTTAATAAACCTTCTCCCATAAAATTATTGCACAAAATAGTGATGGTAACTGGGGATTTCCATGCCCCTGGTCTGGCATTTCAAATGGCGAGCATTCATTTCGCAGAAGGAGAATTACTGGTAAATTTTCATTTTTCTGTCCTTCCTCATCATTTCCTATCTGTCCTTCGATATTCTTGGTTTTCTCTTCTGTATTTCTCTCCCGGCTCTCCAATCCTTTCTCTCTATTTCCCTTGATTTTATCTTTGAGAACCAGGGTTGAAAAACAGCTCCCCTTCTACTCCTCCAAAACAGGGAAGGGGCATATTATTAAACCTCACTTCACCCCTTCAACCAGAAAACAGTCGTGAGAAAAAAAAAAGGTCTTGCTTTTCTCTTTCCAAAACAGAAGAAATAGCACATAAAAGCTTCTGATTTTCCTGAACAAAAATCCCAAATTCCCTGATTTTCTTAGAGGAACAGAGCTGTTGAGCGACTGTTTTGCTGGGAAGAAAACCCCCAAAACTTTGGGTTTTCCTGGAGAAACCACGTATCCCGAACACAGAGAAACAAGGGGCCAAAAACCAAACAAGAAGGTGCCCAGTGAAAAGCTGGTTCTGCTGGTCGAAGGCCAGGAAAGCTGGTTTTGTTGATCTTAGGTGAAGAAATTATTTTGTATCCCAAATCATGTTTTGTATACCCAAGGTATTTTGCACAAAAAAAGAATATTTGGCAACTTTTTTGGATTCATTATCATATTTTCTATTGGCAAGAAAGAGGGCCGAAATATGGTACACAAAGTCAGAGAAAAAGTAGCCTTATCCAAAACATGACTTTGTATAAGCATGGGATAGAGAAGAGGAAGCTCATAAAAGTTCTATCATCTCCCTTATCCAACCGTCCATTTTGAATGAATGGCTAAGATTGTCTCAATCACAATGTCATGGCTCTATATTATTTTATTTTTAATTTTTTTTCTATAAACTATTTTGATACCAAATTTTGGACGTCCATTCCTCTATTAAACTTGTACCAGCAAAAAATTATAAAAAAATATTTTTAATAAAATAAAATGATAAAAATACCCTTGAAAGCTTCAAGAGATATTTTGGTCATTATATTTTATCTAAAAATTATTTTTAATATTTTTTATAGGTGCGTTCGATGGTAGGGGGAGGATAGAACTTCTATGTTGTAGGAGAAGTATAGAAACATTCCTGATAGAGAATACAATATAATACAATTGATGATAATACAATAAGGGAAAAGTATACAATGAGACCATTTACCTCTGGTACAAGGTGGTCACAATAAATCTTGACCATTAGATGCGAAATTGGGTGGCTACATTTATTTCATTGACCAAACTCAAAGTTCAAACGAAATTTTCTTGACCTTTGTGATACACTCAAACTATCAAATTTTACATCGGATCGTTGTAAGTAATTGTGACATTCCTATTCCAAAGGTAAATAATCTCATTGCAATCCCATACAATAATGTTATTATATTAAATAGCTGGCTAGTAATATATTATTATATTATAATGATATTAGTAATATTATAATGATATTAGTAATATTATAATATTAAAAAATAAAAAAACGTATGTTAACATGTTAATAAGGACCAGGTTTCTATGCAGGCAATCCGCATATGATAGAAATGCAGGCTTGGCAATGAATATATTTTTTAAATATAATTTGATTCTAATTTTCAGAGAATATATAATTTTTAACATGAAAATCATGAATATGAAAATAATAATAATAATAAATTGAAAACTAGAAATAATAATTATATTAAAAAAAACATTTGAACCGTTAGTTATAATTATTTTTAGATGGACCACCAAATTGCATCTATCTTTAAGATGGATGCTTTATATCTCTGGACCGCTTGAAACAATTTTCCTATCAATAATGAGTGTCATAATAATACAATAACATGCATAATTGTATTATATTAATATAATAATAGTAATTATTATTATTATTATTATTACTATTATTTTTATATTATTATCACACCCCTCCCCGCTTTATCAAATGAGCTCCACAAATTTGAAGGAGAAACTATCTGAACTTTGTAGATAAAGAAAGTATCTCAAATTATGCTCAAGACATAAATAAGTACAAAATGGCATAATAAGATTCGTGTAGATGACCCCAAATAATTGGGATAGGACTTGGAAGATGATAATGGCGTCTCAGGCCCAAGACTTTCGCATGGGTATTCTAGAGTGGGTCCTATTGAGCATTGAACTTAGAGAATAATTTAGGATGAAGGGAAAAGACCTCCATATGGCATTTATTTATTAGGAGAAATCTTATGATGGAGTACCTCGAGAATTGATTTGATGGGTGTTCGAAAATAAATGCCTCTCCATATACTATATCAACTTAGTGAGAGAGATATACAACAAAGGGCTAACTAGTGTATGAACAATTAGTAGAGAGACAAGTGAGTTTTCAACGACAATAGGTCTACATAAAGAGTTAGCATTAAACCCGTATCTTTTTGTTTTAGTTATGAACAATCTTCATAGGAACTTACATGATGAGGTACCATGGTGTATGTTGTTCGCATATGACATAGTTTTGATCAATGAGACCCGAGACAACATCAACATAAAATTAGAACTTTGGAATAATATTCTAGAATCCAAATGTTTTAAAATTAGCCGGCCTAAGATAGAGTATATGAAATGCAAGTTTAGTAATAATAGAAGCAAAGACGATTAAGTAGTTAAGATTGATAGCCAAGAAGTACAAAAAATGCCTCACTTTCAATACCTTGGGTTGATAATCCAGGAAAATGAAGAGATTGTGGAAGATGTCGCACACAAAATTAGAGCTGGGTAGGTGAAGTAAAGATGTGCAACTAAAATTTTATGTGATCGTCGCATACCAATGAAGCTGAAGGATAAGTTCCATAGGACAATTGTGAGATCACTTTGGCACACCTATAACACACGTGATTTTTATAAATTACTACTGATGCAAAATATTCATTTTATCAGATGGATACTAAAATTTGTCAAGAAACTCATGAATACCCGTCACCTCACCAAAGATGCCATAGGTTCCAAACTCAAACTAATCTCCTAACTTTAAGAATGGAACCTTTGGAGCTCCCAGGTTTTGAAAAATAGAAATCAAATCAAGAAGGCTTAGGGGTTGAGATAGATGAGTACCAAGATAAGAATGAATAGAATTCAAAATGAATACTCAAAATAGGAGCATAGGTGTGGTTTCAATAGGCAACAAGATGAGCGAAAATAGATTTAGGTGAGCTGGCCACGGACAATATTTGACCTAATACTGTACTCATTAAGATGTGTGATATGGTCTAAGTAAAAACCTCTAAAAAGACAAGAGAAAGACCGAAAATGATATTGATAGTAGTGAGAAAATATATGATGACTTCTAATCTTAATGAGATATGAGTATGGCGTTGGATAGAGAAGAATAAACATATATAATTTCTGCAAACCGCCCTAAATAATTGAGATAAAACTTAGGATGATGTTTGATAAATCAAAATTGGAAACCCAAAAAGTTTTGAAATTTGAGCGAGAAAAAGAACAAAAGGCAAAAGCACAAGAAAATAAGAAACAATTTGGAGTCCAAACTTAATTAGGGAAAATTGTTTCATACGAGCATATGCAATCGAAAAAGTATAAAGCATCTATCATAAACGTGGATGCAAGTAGGTGTTCCGTTTGAAAACAATGGAAACTAACGGTGCAAATGTTTTTTTATTAGAATTATCATTTTTAATTATTTAATTTTTTTTTTCATATCCATGATCTCCGTGTTAGTGATTACATGTTTTTAGAAATTAAGTTTTAAAATTCACCTAAAAAATACATTTATTAAGAGACTCGCATTTCTACATATACGGGCTTGGCCGCATAGCACCGGGTCCCTTAACAAGTCTTAAACCCTAGAGCAAGTGAACCAACCCAAAAAAACGCGCGCTCCCGCGCCCTTTCAGTGGAAATTCAGCCAGCAAACCTCGCCATCTCTCAAAGCCAGTATTTTAGAGAGAGAGAGAGAGAGTCCATGTAAGTCTTAGAGGTCAGAGAGAGAGAGAGAGTGCATGTAATTGCTCGGAGGCCATTATACTTCTTGAATGTATGCATCAATCCAAGGCATGGCGTTATCTAATCTCTCTCTACATTATAGGAATTTCCTTTTCAAACCTTGTTCAATGTCTGCTCTTTACTGCCATCACCATATTTCTCGCTCTATATCATCTACACCTGTTTATAGCACTCAAGCCACGCTTCCTCTCTCTGGCTGGATGGACAAAATTAAAGGAGTTCTCACCGGAAAAGAGGATCAGCCTGAATCTCAAACTCAGACGAAAGTTTCTGCTGAAACTTTCACTCTATTAAGTAAGTCATGCATTTTTTGGCTAGGATTTTGATCGCCCATTTGCTCATTTATATTTCTGAATGGCCATTGATGGGTTAGTTATAGATTTGAATCTTTCTGTTTCATTATCTGATAATCTGCTTGTATAGTTCATGTGACGACTATTTTATCAGAAGCCCATGATGGAGTTTTGTTATTTGTTAGTTTTATGTTATTTTCTGAGAAATTTGCCGCAGAAGATGCAAATTCATTTGACCTTCTTTTATTGTTTGGTTAGTAAATCAATTTCCTCCTCTTAGCAACCATTTAATTTTATTATATTTGTCGAATATGGTGTGAGGGACTCGCCTGAGTCCACTTGGATTCAGGCGAGTAACTCGGCCTCGCCTTATGGGATAGGGTGAGTAACCCCGAGTTTTGTGTACAACTCGGGGTATATAAAAAAATAAAAAAAAATCTGAAAATAGAAATAGATTTTTTGATTTGGATGTTTTTGTCAAAGATTGGTGCGGTTTTTTTTTCCCTTAAATCCCAATTTGTATATATTTTTATTTTTAAAATGTCCCAAACTGTAAATCAGTTTTTTTTAAATGCATTTTTCTGTATTTTTTTTTAAGATTATTTTAAGCTTTTAAGATTTCTTTTGATTTTATTTTACTTGGCCTACCTTTTCTTTTATTTCCCAATTTTTTTTCTTCTTTTTAAATTTATTTAGGGCTTTTTGTTCCTGTGTAAGACTCTGCAGAGTTGGCCCAGGCGAGTCCCAGCACACTGGTCAGATGTATAATAGACTGCTTTGACATCTGTTTTGTTGATCTAGAAAGTGAAATGTATCATAATTTTAGGTCTCCTTAAGTTTCCAATATTTTGGCAACGCAATGAGTGCTTCAGTTTCTCTATTTTTGAATAATTATAACAACTTTTTTTTTTTTAGAATAACTAAAACGACTATTTTATGAGTGCATAAGTGTTTCTATTCTACTAGGTTACTCAGAACCCCATTCTTTAACTATATCTGAATTAGATCCATTTTTTTGGTTTTCATGGGGCCCGTTTATTCCACTATATTGTGATTCATGCGGTTTAGTAGATTTTGTAAAACCTCATACCCAAACACATTCATAGTTGGAGTGGAATTTCAAAGAAACCTATGTGTCCATTATTTGATAGCGCGTTCTATTCAATATCATAAGAATATTTTATTTTTACCTTTTTTCCTTTGTCTAATTATCTCAATTTCTCATTGTTCTACTTGAATCACTTTTTTCTTTTTCTGTAGGTTAGGTTGAATCTCAAAACCTCATGGTTGCAATAATAGCATTTTCTGAAAGAGGTAGGGGCTTGAACCCAATGTCAATTTCGGTTTTTCTTTGCCGTTTCTCTTTCATTGATACCTTGTTATCACACAATCCATATGGCCATTCAAGATTCACTTTTTGTCATAAGGGCCCAAGAAAGTGGATGTAGACCTTGAGTCTGGAGAAAAGAGTTTCTTGCTTAAACCTCAGTAGAGTAACAAACCAAAGGCTACATGAAGGTCTTAAGAATCGTTTGAAGATTATCTATAACTGAGTTGCCTAGGTTTCCATGAAAGTTACATTCAAGGTTGAGTTATAAGCTACCCTTAGGTGGTTAGCCCAAACAGCTAGTTCTCTTCTTTTGGGGGGTGGATGGATGATGGATGGATGATTTTCATTGCCATTTTCCATTTATGAATCTGGTTAGGCTATGAGGCCATGAGATGGTAGAATTCCTGATGAATTAAATAACCTCAAGAAGTTTAGATAGGCCTCTTAAATAGACCATTGGCACAAAAATACTCGTCGGGCGCATCCACCAAAATAGCTGTTCTCTTTTAGGCAACTATGTTATAAATCTAGTGGCTCATAGTTCCCTTCACCTATTCAGGGATGCCTTAAGATCCTCAAACAAGTTTATGGATATGGCCTCTGTGAACCATATATAGGTTGCCAGCGAGCTGAATAGAAAGGCACAGGTTATAGATTGGGTATCCCACATGGCCCTAAGGTCTCTCAATCCCTCCTTCTGGATACCTTTCTGGAAAGATATGACTATAAAATTCCCACTTTATCTCATTGCTGTAGTTTTTAGAATACCCTCTATTTAGGACAAAGTGGTTCTTAAGGCACTCCAACAAACATCTGGTGTTCTAAGGATTCCATTTCTCCACTATTGCAGTCTTCTATAATATTTTGAATTTTTTTTAGCATTTGTTTCCCATATATTTGTAGTTTCTGTGGCTGTTTTCTTCTTTAATTCGATATTATCATATTATTCCAATATACTTGTGGTGTTTCCAATTTGATTTTCTTGATGATGGAGGGAGGGAGGGAGGGAGTTTATGCTCTCTGCTCTCATCTCATATCTTGGACCCTTATTTAAATTTTCATTCTACTCTTTTACAGTTGTATTGTTGCTTCCATTTCCCTTTCTTTATTTTGGAATCTCGATTCTTGTTATGTCTTATTGCATGTGTAAGTTATTCAATCCCAAAGTTTTTGATGGGGAAGTTCTTTTGTGTCAATTGAAGTTCGCAGAAATTAGAATCTCCATCATTCTATCATTTTTCCACTACATGGATAGTTTCTGCATGTTCTGTGCTCCTTGTTAATCGTATTAACTTCAGCGCAGATGTTATCTTGCAATGTCATTTGATCTACCACCATTTCTACTGTGTCTGTGTTTTTTTTTTTGTTTTTTTTTTTCTTCAATTTCTTGAGTTTTGAGCCCTATTTTCTCTTAGATTTGTGCTCTTCTCAATTTCACTGAATCTTTTTTGACTGTTTTCTTATTGCATCTAATTCTTTTGTATTTGTGTAAAAGCGCCTTTCTGAATATATAAGAATGGAAAAGAAAAGATAGGAGAGTTTTTTTTCTGAAACTGTCAACCTTATGTTAAGTATAAGAGCTTACAATATACAAAAAACTGAGGAGCTTACAATATACAAAAAACCAAGGGAGCACTGTACAACCACTGAGGACGTGGCAGATAACAAAAAATGCTACACAAGTATGAGTACTGTAGTACAAAAAATGTGGATAGAGTGTTACAAAAATACGTATGAAGGTGCGAAAAGCAAGCAGATTAGGGCATCACCCTGGAAGAGCCTTGCTTAGCTACTGCGTCGGCTACTTGGTTGGCCTCTCTTCAGATATGCTTCCATGAGACCTGCATATGCTTGCAAATGTTAAAAATCTCATCAAAGATGGCCATGAGTCTCTAAGGTGGGGTGGCCTCTTGTGAGGCCCAAGAGATAATGTTTGTTGAGTCACCCTCAACAACCAGAGTAGTGCTCCATGAGGGGTTGAATTATTTGAGGCCTTTCAAGAGAGCTCGGGCTTCCGCCTACGTGGAATCCGCGAGACCGATGGGTGAAGCAAAGGTGAGGAGGGAGACACCTTCACGGTTCTTGAAGATTCCCCTAATGCCCTCGGGCCAGTGTTGCCCAGAGAGCACCCATCAAAATTGAGTTTTGTGGTGTCCAATGTCCGAGGACCTCCAGAGGGATGCACGGGACATTGACCTAAGCCTATGGTGGAGAATGGTAGTCTAGTTGAGGTGTAGATCTGAGGTGGAGAGGAGCTTGAAACAGTTGTGGTTGGTGGCCCGGAAGATCACCAAGGACTTAATGGACTCCTTAACGGTTTGAGGTGAGATTGCTGCCCGCGAAATATTATGTTGTTGCGTTCCTTCCAAATCGACCAAAGGGTAGCCGCCATTGCCGCCTTCCAAAGCATGACACCTGATTTGGGCCACGATAGGAAAAACATTTGTTGGAAGAGCTGCAGGACTGAGGCCAACGTCACCCATGACCAACCATATAGTTAGAGCAAGTCCTCCCAAACTGTAGTGGATAAACAAGTGAGAGTTTGTTTCCTCCTCTGATAGCCACATCGTGCATTTGTTAGGGATTTGCATGCCTCTTCTTTGGAGTTCATCCACAGTTAGGACTCTCGCTCGCACAGAGCGACCCAATTGAAGACATGTATCCTTGGAGTAAGAAAAGGAATCCAGGCTTTGGCAATGATGGATTGTTGTGGGGGCTATGCAGTGGAGGGGTAGGTAAGCTGGTGAAAGGAGGAGCCCGAGAAGATCCCAGAAGGAGCCGGGATCCAAATCATTTGTCCTCACCGAGAGGAGAGAAGAAAGAGGAATGGAGGAGAGAGAGTTTCAAGAAGGCGGAACCTCTTCGTTGCAAAGTTGTGTGCAAAACTTTGGGTCCCACATCCTGCAGTTTGCAGCTGGCCCAAAAAGATCGGCAACAAAGGCATTGGGATTTCTTGCCAAGCGAAAGAGGTTGGGAAAGCGAAGTGAGAGTTGAATATTGCCTGACCAAAGATCAGTCCTTAACCTAATTCTCATCCCCTCCCTCGGGTGGAACCGGATGAAAGCTTTGAAAAGGTGAAGGCTGTGGAGCAAGGATTTCCGGACCCCTAAAGTGGAGTGGAATAGCCATTTGGGGAGGAACAATGGAGAGGAGTGAAGGCGGTGTTTGTGGCTTAGAACCTGGTGCCAAAGATGACCCCCTCGGTTCACGGCCTCCATCACCACTTGCCCAACAGTGCCAAGTTGTGCTTTTGGAGACTACGAATCCCCAAGCCTCCAACAGCTTTGGGCTGGCAAATCTGCTCCAAGCAATGAGATGGTATTTTTGAATTCCCCGTCTCCTGACCAAAGGAAGTTGCAAATTAGTTGTTCGAGGCGTTGACTACCAAGGCAGGCATGTGACGAGAGACATTTGGAAGATAGGGACATTAGAGAGGGTGACTCTACCTGCCGGAGAGAGATATCTGGCCTTCCAAGTGTGTATGTTCAAATTTGTTTATGATATGACCCCATTGGGGTTTTTGGGTTTCTCATGGCACAGGGGTAGGCCAAAGTAGGTGGAAGGAAGGGAGTTTGTCCCACTACCTCATCCGTTGGTAAAGGCTTGGGTGGTATGGGGGTCTAAGGTGATCCCAATCATCTTGGACTTTGCCAAGTTTACCTTAAATTCCATGGCAAAGTGAAAGCAGTTGAGGGAAAGGAGCAAGGTGTTGACCTGATTTGCCGAGGCGTCACAAAGAGGAGGTGTAAAAAATAGACCTAAAGATTGAAAGTTTACATTTGTCGCCAACTTATATCTTTTCGTAATATTTTTTTTTTTTGGAAAAAAAGTATTTCTGAATATATTTTAGCTCGGGAAACGGTTTATATAAGGTGTCAACCTTATAATATAGAAATGAGGTGCACCTCAAAAATCTACTCGAAAAGGTTGTAGTGCGTCTTGTAATAATTATCGGGACTGTCCATTTTCAAGAAGGTATTAATTAGCTCTGCTCGATCTGCACCATCTTTGGACTTTTAAATTTCATAACTTAGGGTGAGGATAGCTTTTTTGGCCATTGTAAGGGTTTCTGGCATCCGAATTATATCTTTTAGCAAGATTTTGATGTGCGCCTTATTTTGATTGTTCAAGGTTGAGGTTTTATGCAGACCTCATCCTTTAGTTTGTTTCCTCAGATTATCCTAGTAATCTGTGAAATTTTTAGTTCCCAACATTTGTTTTTATCATCTTTGGGGCTTCTATCCATTTATATTTTCTGTGATTTCCTAGAATAAGCAATGACATACACTCTGTGACTGTCTTATGCACTTTAATTCTTCAATGTTAGCGGTGTCTCCAGAAACCTCGTTTTTCACGTATAAATAGTTAACTATCTTTTGATTTCTTATGATCCCTTCTATACTATTCTTCGTGAGGCTATGCCACTCATGAGTTCAAGCATTAAAAACAATCTCTATTGCATTAGAAATTAGAGCCCAAGTTGAGCTTGGTTTCCTGGAACCTGCAATGCCATGGTTGATTTTCTGATTGGTATAATTTTTTATTGGTTATTGGACTGGATCTCTGAATTTATCCTTTTTCTGAGTTTGCTCTTTGACGTTTTTCCTTTTTTTTTTGGTACCTCACTTTAGATTTTGCTGATCAATTAAAGATGGCAAGAAAAGTGGGATCTTTTAAGCAGTTTATGGTGGGTCGTAGCAGCGAGGCGACATTTTCTGATGCATTTGAGAAGCAAGAAGCCATACTTCGGTATCTTGGAACTCTTGATCCTACAGGAGAGGTCAGTTCTCTATATCTTTTACTCCCTTTTTTATACCTCACCTTTCAGAGTGGTTCCTTAGTTCACATGTTGTGGCTGTTTGGATGGTCTTGTGCCTTCTTTGCGGTCTGATGGATTAATGGTTGAGTTTATGGAGGAGGGGTTTAGGGAGGGAGGGATATCTATGTGTGCCTAGCAAGGCACATAGAGGTCCTCATAACAGTGGCTCATGGTTTTGAACTGGGGAGTGGATGTAGAAGTAAATAGTTTGGCTCTATATCTGAGGACCTCATATTCTGCAAAAGCTGTATATTATGTTAGGTTATTGTTATTTGAAAATGCTTACCCAAAGAAAGCTGTTTTCTTTCAACTCGCTCTATCGGGATTGCAACGTGAAAGCCTTTTAGGTTTTAGCATCCCAAGGCATAGAAGAAAATAGCATGTACTTGTGACCTGTGCTTTTAAATGCGGGATGCGGACCCAATGTGGTCCAGATGCGGGCACATCACTCTGATGCGGCCAATAAATAAATAAAGTCTAAAAATCTCAACAAATAGGTTAATGCATGGAAAAAAAATATGGAGTTGATTTATGTGATAGTAGGTATTTAATTTATTCGTTAACTGCAATGTTATCAACTATCAAGACTCTGAATCCCCTGATAGAAGACATTAGAAAGTATAGTATAAACTAGAAATTTGAGAGTAACTATATAGAAGACATTATAAGACATCATATTATCATAAACATCCATAAACCATAATTGCAATTGCAAGGCTTAAAGTTGCAAACTTCAAAGATTGAAACCAATCTCAATCAACAACCCAACCACGATCGGAAGTAATCCGATGATTTTGAAAAGAAGTTTTTGCCCAATTTTTTTTTTTGCCCCAAAATTGACTGTTTTTGCAACCTTCAAAGATTGAAAGCAATCCCGATCGATTGTTTTTTTTTTTTTTGGGAGGGGTACTAACTGCCCATGCTCATGGGCAAGGGTGCATATGCAGTATGCCCTGCATATGCGTTGGGATGCGCCGCACATGCAGGGGTATCCCTAAATACCGCATATGCAGCCAAAGGCGATGTGTCTCAGGCCGCATAGCGCATGATGCGGCCGCATTTTAAAACAATTCTTGTGACATCGAGGATAACTATGCCTGGATGGTAGTCATTGTTCTACCGGCAAGTTCTAATGCAACTAGGGGTTGTTTGGCAACTGGAAATTGGAAATAGAACTTGGAATCTGGGACTTTGAGCACGTGGTAATGGAAATTATTGTGTTTGGTTATACTAACTAGAGTTGTGGGGATTCTGGAAAATTGTGTTTGCTTTAACCTGGGATTTTGTAAATCTGGAAATTAGCTGGTTTTAAGACTCCATTGAAGTTTTTGTTGATGAGAGGGTGATATTGTTAAATGAATGAGATGTTGAATATCATAGCTCATCCACAGTAGGTCTAAAAAATTGGACGATCTAGATCATGTAAAAAGAAAATTTGATGTGTTATAGTTTACCACATTATAGTCTTAGTTTTCGAAAACTCTCCCAAGTCCACTTAGACTCGGATGAGTTACTTCGACTTGGCAGCTTGTCAAACCTGGAGTAGGGCACCCTTAGGTATTATGGACAGTACTCGCGTAAGTACATAGTGACTGACCTGATTATTGTAAAACTTAGGCGAGTCAAGCCCAGGTTTCACAGTACTCAAGCAAATTTGTACAAGCGTTGGCCTAGTAAAAATACTAATAAGATTAAAAGAGGAATGGCAGAGACCCGCTTGCCTTTTTTCTTGGCCTCTTCAGAGTTTTCAGGTTATAGTTGCCATTTGAGCCATTTAATTGCCTCCTTGGGAATTTTTTTTTGAACATGTTAACTATTGCATTAAGAAGTTAGTAATTACAAAAGAGGTATGAGGAGGATAGGCACCTTACAGACTGGGTGCCTTGTACAAAAGACCCCTCGTGTACAAAAAATGTAACGGCCCGTTGGGAGCCACAAAAATGCTATATAGGCAGTATAAGAACAAAAAGATACAAAACCCCATTTTGTACTAAAAAAGGTGCTCGAAAAGTTCTTTAGGAGTTGCACTGTGAAACTGCCATCTGTTGTAGCTCCTGTTTAGCGAGGGTATCGGCTGCTGCGTTTGCTTCCCTCCAAGTATGCCTCTTTAGCAAGATTTTGGCTTGGCATATCTATTAGAAACAATATATTTGAAAAATATTAAATTTGAAAATTGTTTTTAGAAAAAAAGGTCAAGTTTTTGCCCTATTTTGCAAAAAAATGCAATTTCTTCACAATCGATGGTCAATCTTCAATGAAATATTATCCCAAAGCCTATTTTTGTGTTTTGATCAAGTCATAGGCTTGATTTTCATAAAAGAAAACCAAAGATTTAGGATTACTTCGAATTTACTCTTCATCCAAAATTTTCAAGAGCTCAGATCTCTTAGATTCAAACTCAAGTCCCAAAGTTGGTTTGGGGTTGTCATGAGTTGCTTGAGGAAGCTTTGACGTGGATTGGAGGCATTAATTTGCATCTAGGTCAAAGATTAGGGGATTGACCTAGAAAATTTGGGTTTCACTTTTTTCAATTTGAATTCATAAACTTGATTTTTTTTACAAAATCAAATATACTTTTGTGATTTTCTATTTTTATAATTTTCTGAAATTTCCTTCTTTTTTTTTTTTCTTCAGATTTTCTATTTTTCTCAAGCCAATAAATCCAACTTGTTCCTATTCCATGTTTTATATTTATTCTGTTACTTTTTTTTTCTTCACAACTTTATTTATTTTACTCATAGTTTTGCACCCTTTTTATGGCTCGGACTAGGGCAAATCCCTGCCAAGTCTTCCAAGTCACTTGGCTAGGGCAGATGCCTAGTTTGCTGCCCCCCCATGTTTTAAAACACCGAGTTCACCTAAAATGCTATCGATCTGAATTATTATGATCTTAATCTCATTGTTGAGATCACATATTGGAATTTCAGCTTTCTGTGTTTACTCATCTGATTGTGTTAAAATTTTTGGGCAGTCTATACTTCTCACCCTTATGCAGCTGTAAAACATATGAAAAATAATTTAAAAAATTAAAATGAACAAAGCACCCCTGAAATTTTTTGGAATATTTTGGTCATTCAATTTTGTGCAAATTATTTTTATTTTTATTTTTACATGTGCTCCTCAATGAGGCATGCACAAAATTTCATTTTGATTTGATTTTCAAAAAAATAAAAATGGATGAACATAGGGCTAGCATATTCAAAATGACTAAATAGCCCAAATATGACAAGTCCATGATGCAAACTTTTGAGAAGTTTGGGGCTCCATTGGAGTTGGGGTGGATCGGTGTTGGTGGAACTCTGTGATGCTCAGTTTTGAGATTTGCAGCTTCCAATATTCCATTTTCCATTGTAGTATTCCTAGTTGACAAACTAGGAATTGCTACAGGGCTTCAGAAATTTCTTATTCTGACAATAAAAATTCTGGTCGCCATACGACCTCTTTAGCTTCAGAGATATCCTTATTATGGATGTGACTCAAAAAGAGTTAAGTAAGCTGCATATTATCAATTTCACTTAACTTTCCAACTTCACAGGCAATGTGGTTGTTGGAAATCCACCCAAATATATTTGAATCAAGACCTGTATAGTGTGAAATGAAACAAGTTCCATATAAATGTTTAGCAGCACTACTAGAACATCATCATAACATGGCATTTATATCCATCGTTTGGTTTTTTTATCAATTATGATACAAATTACTTAAGATGGCTTATTTTTAGGATCTTGTAGATCAACTTGGAGAAACTACAGAACTGAAATCTAATACTACTGTCTGGCACGTTCACTCTTTAAAAGAAAAATTACTTATATGCAAGCTCTAAACCAGATCAGAGCACAACTTTGCTCCACAAGTGAGTATAGCCTTGCTTGTATAGTGGCAATAGTTTCATAATAATATAATGAAACTGCTCCTTCAAGTTTTGGTCGTGCACTCTTTTCATCCCATCAATCAATCCCAATATGAAGAACAAGGAAGAAATTTTATACCCTGTTTTCAAAACCTTTAAGAAAATGATTTTTGAAAACGAAGGAACTGGATCAACAACCTGTAGATGATGGACCTGTCCCCTTCTATGTAACATGAGTTTGAAGAGATGCTTGAAAATCAAGCTTGAAGAAGAAAATTCACCAATTAAATCTGCCAATCAAAACCCACGTAATGCCCTGATCCAGTCCAATCCTTCTCCAATTCAATTTCGAACCCTAACATTGATGGCATGGTGAGACCTAGGCTTAGGCCAAGCAATGATGTTCAATGCGTGTACTTTCTAAGTGCAGGTTGAGAGCACCACACACAAATGGGTCGAAATCTCCTAAAAGTAGGATGGCAGTTGATGTCCTAGGTGTCCTGAAAATAGGTTAAAGGCCTCTAACCATGAGATGATAGGGATCTGAATTATCTCTGTTTCTTGCCTAAGGCCGTCTACTCCTTTGATGCCCATTATGCCCAGGATGTGCAGCATGAGTGCCAAGGAGGTACAACTATAGTCACCCTAGTTTGACTAAGGGATGTATGAAAATTGAAGGAGAATAGAAAAAACAGCCGCAATTTAGGCGAAACACAAGCAATTTCTATAAGAAACCTATGGTTTCTGCCTCTCCCCAGGCTAGGGTTTCAAGTTGGAGAACTCTCTCTCTCTCTCTGTCTCTCTCTCTCTCTCTCTCTCTCTCTTCTTTACTGGAAATCATGCAGAATGTCCTCTAGAACTCCTTCTTTACTGGAAATCATGCAGAATGTCCTCTAGAACTCCCACACACCTCTTAAATAGTCTTTATTAATGTTCAAAGGACATTAATTGTCCATACAAATAAGAAATTGACTCTTGTGTCCTAAAATTCTCTCAAAAAACACTTATACACAAAAATCCATAATGCCCTTTATCTAACATAAAATGTCCAAAATAGCCCTAACTTAAATGTAACTTAAAAATCAATGCCCTAACTTTAAATAGAAATCCTAGAAAGTACCTAACTTGTGCAGAAAATAAAAACAATTAAAAATAACTGAAAACAACTCTAAAATGGCTAGAAAAGTAACCCAAGCAGTTCTTGCTCTTCTTGTTCTTCTTCGTATCTCTCCAAAGGTTTACCTCCTCCAACTATGCGTGAGAATTAGGAGGAATCTGAGGCTCCCAAAGAAGATACTCGTCACTTTTTCCACTTGATGCATTTTACGCATTGTCATTCTCTCCGGGTTGAAGAGAACTCACCCTCGAGTTTGCACTTTCATCCTCATTTAACTCTGGCCCATGACACTTGGACAAATCAGCAATATTTAAGAAATTTGAAGTCTCCATATGCGAAGGCAAAGCGACCTTGTAAGGTTGCCGCCTATCGTCTTCAAAATCTTGAATGATCATGCCTCACAGTCACTCAGCTTGTTGTGTTTGCCTATTGGATGCTTATCCTTCCTGAGATACACTATCACCCAGTCTCCCACATTAAATTCCTTGAAATGGCGATGCTTTTCTGCTGCTTTTTGCTATTTGTTTTTTGGCTTCTAAATTAGCACACACCTGCTCATGCTTTCCTTTCGTTTGCTCAACAGTAGCATGACCCTCCTTATGGGCTTGGATGGGAGCCAACTCAAGCATATGGGTAGGGCTCTTCTCATGTACCACATTGAATAGACTCTTACCAGTAAATCTATTGTGAACATTTTTAAAGGCAAACTTGGTTTGAGGCTACGCTAGATCCCATTGTTTCTTCTTTACCTATTGTGAACCTTGTTATAGGCAAGCTTGGCTTGAGGCAACACTAGATCCCACTGTTTCTTCTTTTCCCTTATCATCTCATTACCCCTAAGAAGATTTCCAAGAGTACGGTTTACCACTTCAGTCGGCCCATCTGTTTGTGGGTGATAGGCACTACTGAAATGTAATCAAGTGCCCAATTTTTTCAACAAAGTTCCCCAAAAATGGTCGAGAAAGTTAGTGTTACGATCTAAAGTTTTTGTATTTGGAACAACATGCAACCTCACCACCTCTTCGAAGTACAAATTACCAACATGTATGGCATTCAAGGTCTTCTTGCAAGGTATAAAATGAGGTATCTTTGAGAATCTAACCATACCACAAATATTGAATCCACACCTTTTTGAGTCCGCCGAAGACCCAACAAGAAAGCATCCTAACACCCTCCCTAGGTGCATTGGTAGTAGGAGGTGGAGAATAAAACCTTGTATTTTGTCATTGCCCTTTAGACACTCGATACATATGACATCTCTTGACAAACCGCGTAATATCTGTCTTGAATTTTAGCCAATAATACTTAGATTCCACCAATGCTATGAGTTTGTCTCATCCAAAATGTCCACCAAGACTTCCTTCATGAAGCTCTGCTATGAGGGTCTCTTTGAGGGAACTTGCAGGTGTACAAAGACGGTTTCCTTTAAAGAGAAACCACCTTGAATAAGAAAATCTGCACTGACTCCATTGTAATACAGAATCCATGTCTTCTTGAAATCGCCATCATCTGCATAATATGTCCTTCATAAATTCAAACCCAGTAATAATAGTTGTTGTGGTAGTTAATAAAGCCAATCTTATGCTATGATACCAAATTGATGTAGGAAAATTGAAGGAGAACAGAAAAACAGTAACAATTTAGGCCAAACAGAAGAAACCTAGCATTTCTCCCTCACCCCAAGCTAGGGTTTCAAGTTGGAGAACTCTCTCTCTCTCTTTCTCTCTCTCTCTTTCCTTGCTGGAAATCCCGTGGAATGCCCTCTAGGACTCCCACATATCTCTTAAATAATCTTTATTAATGTTCAAAGGATATTAATTGTCCATACAAACAAGAAATTGACCATTATGTCCTAACTTCTGTGCAAAAGTTTATGATGCCCTTTATCTCACTTAAAACAAACAAAACAGTCCTAACTTAAATTGAACTTAAAAAATAAAAATCTTTAAATAGAACTTCTAGAAAGCCCCTAACTGGTTCAACAAATATAAGAAATAAAAATAACTGAAAATGACTCCAAAATAGCTAGAAAATTAACCCAAGCAATTCTTGCTCTTCTTGATCTTCTTGGTAGCCCACCTAGCATTTACATCTTCCAAGTATGCACAAGAATTAGGATGACTCTACTGCTCCCAAAGAAGTTACTCGTTACTTTGTCCACATGCACTTTGTGCATCATCACTTAGGTCCCAATCCTGAACCTAGAACCTTTAGCCTAGACTATATCCTGCCCCAGCTGTAGACCACTGAAGCTGACATCCAAGGTACCTACCATCAAGTCTAAAATTGTTGTTTTCTCTATATCCCTTAGAGAAATTCACCAAAGATACCCAAATTAACCAAAAATCCTCATTTAAGACCACAAAATACCTTCCGTCAAACGATCAACGCGTTCAGACCTTTTGTGCTTTGTTGAGTCATGCTGTGGCGTGGAAGCTATGTGGGTGGTACACAGAAGGTATGCTAAACATGGATATTTTGAGGCTGGAGCTCATAGGTTGTGGGTCCCATGTGCTTCCAAAACATTCTCCCCATTTTCCCTCGAGAAAAGTCTTCAAGTTTGAAAATTAGGCAAAATCTTGCAACCTTAGAAAAATTCCATTTTCTGCACGTGGAAGTATTTCAATTAAATTTTCAGCTGTTTTCAAATAAAAACTTCCCTAGACAAAATTTAAATGGAATTAAATGTCAAAAACCCAAGTTTGGAAGGGTATTGAATACTTTTTGGAAAATCCCACTTAAAATTGGTACAATTGTCAAATTGCAAAATGTGGACAATCGGAGGGCTTGATTTCCCCACGCCCCACATAATGGCTTCAACACCATGTGGCCACTCATACTTGAGCCAAACTATGGCATGGAGAAACCCAGGCCCAGATTGTCCCATTTTTGTAGGTTGGCTAATTAAGGTTTTTGAAAACATTTTTGCCTATAAATCGGTCATTTTGTGACCCATTTTCAATCCTTTTACTTTTTTAGAGACATTGAACCCTTTGATACCTAAGATACCATAAAAGAAAACCTACCCTTGAATCCCTTACTGTAACATTGAATCTAGAGACCATAGCATGATGAGCAGCCTTCAAACCCTAATCTAAGCCTCCAAACCTCAAATGCAAGCCTTATCACCTTAATTCAAGCAAAATACTTCAATAACCTAGATCTAACCTAGGAATCCCATACCCTGCAATCTTCATCTTGCAAACCCAAATCAATTCGAGAAAAAATCAATCCTTCAACCTCAAGCTCATCGATCAAGCCTTCTTCAAGATGGATAGTATCAATCACATTTAATAAGTCTGATCCAAGCTCCAAATCCAGGTGCCAGGCCTATGGGCTCAACTCGGTGTGTTATTATTTGCTTTTCTTGATTTTCTTATTTTCTTTCATTCCTATTATCTTACTTATTTTATGTTGGATTTTCTTTATTTTGTATTTCTATTTTAATTTCTGAGGGTTTTAGTGATAACTAGCCAGCGCAGCCGCAATCCACAGGTTAGCGGCGGGAAAGCTGTTTTTTTGTGGATCGTAGTTCGATGATCCCCTCATTTCTTTTTGTTTTTCCTGTACCAAATATTGACTTCAGCTTAGATCTCGATCAGGGAGGGAGATTGTTGATTTCCTTGCTTGGATTTGGGTATCAACAAAATCCCAGTCCAACAATAGTCCAACAATGAATCCAGATCATCCATGTGGGGGACATTGAGATCTAAGCTTTTGTAAACTGAATCATTATCTTTCTTTCTAAAATAGTTCATCTGATGATGATAAGGTCATCTACAAAATTAGGGATAACATTTCCCCAAGGTCAATTCTAATGTCCCATCAAATGGATGCCCCTGCCTAACAAACATGTCATCGGGGTACACAAATGACATAAGTACTAACATGATAGCCAGAATAAATGATATATTGCCTCAAGTTATAGACGAGGATATGCATGACTGCCAGAGATATCAAAATTTTGTTTTTTAGTTTTCTCAACCAAGAATGTATGGCCCCAAGTCACGGGCATATGCCCAAAAGCTGTGCACTTCGTAGTGCTGGCTGGATGGGAATGGCTATTGCATATACGGAATCATTAGAAGGTACTTTGACTATTTGAATTCTTAGTACTGAAGAGTGATACTCATAGAATTGGAAAATGCGATCTTAGTAGTGTCAAAGGTAACTCTTCGTATTCATATCAGGAATACCCATTTTGCCATTATTTATTTGTGAAAGCTTTTTCCATTTATTGAAGGTGACAAATATAGCTATTGTTGTTGTTGGTTCAACATGAGATGATGAGTTTTGGTTGAAAAGAACTCAATATTAAAACCTAGCTGGTGTTAGGAACTTAGGGTCCAATATTATGCTAATACTTATGTGGTACAATTTTGTCCTTAACATACACTTTATGTGTTAGGATGGTGATGATGGTTTTAATTGTTTTTTTGTTGTCAGCATCTTGAAAGCAGCCAAAAGTCTAGTGCAGCTAAGCATTGCAACTGTACAATAGCAGATGTTGAGAATACACTGTCTAAATATACATGGGCCAAGGAAGCACAAAAGAAGATCGAAAAGCTGAAGGAGGAAGGGAAACCAATACCAACGACTATGGGAGAGGTATGCTTTTTTGTTTTTCCCGAATGTCCTTCATAGATGTACATTCCCATCAGATAATATTGCTTATTTGTAATCAAGGCAATGAGATGTATTATTTTGCCTTGCTAATCAACTTCTCATATAATCCAGAGGAAGTTTCTGGAAAATGAAGCTGGGAAAAAGTACTTAAGTTTCTCTACTAAGTTTAGAACACTTCTCTAGAGAACTATTTTGGGGAGGGTGCCATGATGTAAGAAAACAAACTTGATATCCCATCAGATAATTGCATATTTGTTTTGTTGCTGTAGTCCTATCATATCAATACAATGCGATTTGCACATTCGTATTGTATCTTTCTTACTTATTGTTGCAGTTGTGGAGAACATGGTTGATTCTTGCTCTCGCAGCATGGTCATGTAATGTTATGTGCACATTGTCATATATTGAGAGGACAAATCCTGGATTTTAGAGCTAATTTGACAGCTTCATCACAGTAAGTGACCAAGTTGCAAGCAAACTGAGAGCACAGGAATTCTTCTCCAGGTTCAAAGCTCACTAGAGCCCACCCTGGAAGTACCCATGCGAAAGTCTTGGGCATAAGATGTAAAATTGTATATATCTACATTAGTATATATTGTTCTGGTGATACACGAGTACAAATTCTACCAACCAAGCATCCATTTATAGTTAGATCTGCCCTTGGGTCCTATAACTTGCTGAGTAGTGTAGCTCGGGAGGTGTATTACCACCTTATTATTTGTAAGATGTGGCATCCCACTTATTATTTCTGATATGCAAATATGTTCCTAAAGATGACCTCTTACCTCAAGTCTCTCATCATACATGTCATTGGAGATTGCTCATGTGGAGTTTGATTAGGGTGAGATATGGCAGCAGTGTTCCTAGCAATGTAATAATACCATCTCAAGGGACAAAACACAGATACCTGATGCGCAAGAATTCTGAGCAAATTAGTGCATGAAACTGCCTTGACATCCCTTTGGGAAATGATGTCCAAACTTTCTCACAGCAAGCTCAAAGAACTTGTTTTGAGTCTGGAGGGCTCTGTAGTTTGCAATCTATAAGACCAAGGCACTCTAAAAGTGGTTTAATAAACAAACTCCTTTCTACTATCTCGTTTGATGATCTCATTATTGATATTCATATGATAAAGGGCAATTTCCAAAAGGCTGCAACTGTAACGGAGATCTATCAGTAGTTAGCATTCCAGTAAAGTGGACAATCTCAACATCCATTAAGAGCAAAGGGTAATCCCTAGTGATTGCAGCCTCTATTTGAGCTACTTGAGCAAAAGTCTCCATATTCAGACTCTATGCTGTTGTATGTGACCTTTCGTTGTTTTTCTCTATTTTTATGAACTTTTTAAAGGAGTCACGTATTAAATCCTTTTCGTTTTTGTTTCTATTGTGGCTTAGAACCAATTAAAATTAATTATGTATTTTTGCTCTCTCTATCTGTCTCTCTCTTTCTCTCTCTCTAACATAGCCTAATTTTCAGTTAACATCCTTTGCAGGTCCAAAAACTGATGGGCTCCACGCCAGTGGATATTGCAAGATCTAATTTGGCAAAGAGTGGGCAAATAAGTAGAAATGCACTGTGCCCATGTGGTTCCAAGAAGAGATACAAAAGGTCTGCAATAATATCTAATGAGCAGCTTATGTCTTCTTTACTCTTTCGTCCTGGCCTCTGAGTGAGCATAGTATTTTTACTTTTATCAGTTTCATTTGTAAAATTACCTCTACATTACTAGCATCTGTTGTGGCTCGTACCCCTATTTTCTTATTTTTTCCTATTAAATGATTATTCACCAAGAATTTCTTTATTGAATCTCTCTCTCTCTCT